TTGTTTTTGTATTGCAATTTTTTATTTCTTTTCCTCATTTTGTATTTTAACCTTGGAAAATAAATAAAAACATCAGAAAGAAAGAAAGAACAAAATATACTGTAGTTGTTCAAATTCAAGTATTTTTCCCTATATGCATTTGGCATGAAAGGCCAAGAAAAAAGTAAGTTCATGATAATTTCTCTTTCATTGATTCTTATTTTTCAATATCCTTACAATGTACATGTGATGGAATAGAAACCAGGATGAACAGACAGGATGGTTGGAAATGAGATTACTCAATTCTGCAGGATTAAATGTATGAAAATAAAGAAGTTGAGAACAACCTGCATTAATTGGTTTGCTATATATTTCAGACATTAAATATTACTCCAATTAACAAGTTTCTTTCTGAAATTCAAATGGCTCTTATTTCTAAATCTGGTTAGCTTAAGGATCTTAAGAATTAAAGCATGGATACTTCTATGTATGAAACAGTTACTAGTGTCTTTTACTATATTCCTAGATAAATGAGATAGGAATTACAATCAAATGAGCTAATTCTACTTTATTGTAAAACTACATTGACAGTATCTTGAATGTCTGGAAATACAATTCTCACACTTCTATACAGGCCAAGGAACTAGGGAGGGTTTCTTTTGAATCTCTTCCCCACCCCCACCATCCAGCTATTGTATTTATTTATTTAGAAAATTTATACAGCTGCCTACTCACACATGACTACTCAAGGCTATTTTCTATGCTGTCTCCTATGTGACTGGTCCATTGGCAGCATATCTTTGCTTATTCTTCCAAGATCTTTCTCACTTACCATTACATACACAGATCTATGGATCAACAAAATACTTTGAAAAATAGAAAATATAAAAACAAATCTGAAATGTTTTCACAATTATGGCATTCATGTTCTCTGGAAGAAAGAAAAAAACAGACATTGGTGGATGGGAACGATGATAAATGGGTTTTTCAATCATATGTTGCCAATCCAATGCAATACAGGCTGGGGTTTCTGAAATAGTTTTTAGAATCATTTAGGGCATGTAGGCATCATCAGAACCCACAGCTGTCACAACCTGATATGAAAATTGTGTCTCATACAATAATACTAAATTTGTTAGAGGTGAGGGAAAACAGATGCAAATAAAAATAAATCATGATTCTCCTGAAACTTAAACATGGATACCAGTGTTGGGCATGGGGGTAAGTGAATGCATAATTGATTGCAACAATATTAATAAACCTTTACAGGGGATGCTAAATTGAATTCTGCATAAGATGCCTTGTTTCCCAGTTGTGAGGCTGATCCAGTAGTTCTGCTGCTGCATCATACCAGGAAGCAACAGAAGCCTCAATCAAACTGTGTAATAAACCCCAAGAAAAATCCAAGCTACCTTGGAACTGCAGAAAAATCAATGAGAACTAGATAGTGACAAGGGATAGATGGCAACATATCCCAACTCCAGCTCACATAGCCATTACCCTGAGCGTGTGTGTATGACCTTTCATGTGTAGGTCCCATGAAAAGTTGTGTCATCTCCATGGTTGTAAAGATAGCCATGAATTCATGCATTGAGTCTACTGTAATGATGGTAAATTGAAGTCCCCAAAAATCCAAGTCTGGGAATCTTTACCATCAACTTGATGATAACCTTGGGCAGGGAGGCTGCCAAACAGGATGAAGACTGATACAATAGCAGAACTCCTAACTGATTCTTCATCTTATCTGTAGCAATAGCAATAGCACTTAGACTTATATACTGCTTCATAGTGCTTTACAGCCCTCTCTAAGTAGTTTACAGAGTCGGCATATTGGCCCCCACAATCTGTATACTCATTTTACTGGCCTCAGAAGGATAAAAGGCTGACTCAAGCTTGGTGAGATACCTGATGATCTACAAGACAGAGTCCCTGACATTCTTCAGAGACTCATAGAGACCAGTGATGGCTAACCTTTTTGGCACTGTGCCCAAAGCATGAATGCACTGCCAAAATGCAATGCCCCCCACCCCCATGCATGCGCACATGCCCATGCCCCTGCACATGCACGCACATCCCCACATATGTGCCCCACCCCTTTGCAAGTGGTAGCAGAGACTTGAAAACCAGCTGGTTGATGGGAAACATGTATGCATGTGCAGCGGAGCTGAACTGGGATGACAACTTGTGTGCCCAGAGAGAGATCTCTGCATGTCACCTCTGGAACAAGTGCCAAAGGTTTACCATCATGCTATAGACAATACTAGCATCCCTTTCCTTGTGATTGGTGCCAAAACTGAAAATCTTCTGTACACATTTCTAGAAAAGGACATTCTCTTTTCTTTGCCCAGACAGGTCTCAGTAATATATGGCAACCTGGATGAAATGAGCCTTTTCAGAGACTGACTTGTCATTTAATAGCAACAGCTGGAGCCTGTAGCCATCTAGTTATTTTTCAGAATAACTTTTAAATATCTTGGAATATATTGTTAAAATTCACTCTCTAATCATTAAATTTCAATGGAAAGGATTACTACTTCAAATTTCAATGAAGAATCTAGGAAGGAGTAAAAAGTGTATGACTCATAGAAAATGCCAACAGAAAAGATAATATAAGCAAAAAGAAACAAAAGAGAGAAAATGAATATTTTCTCAAATTTTACTTCCTACTATTCATAACCTGTTTTATAAGAGTAGCTCATCCACAGTGAGGGAATTAAGTGAAAGATCTCTGTGTTTTTTCAAACTGTTTATGCATCAAAGTTTCTAATCTACAAATTGTCAAGTGCAATAGATCAGCTCCAAATGTGAAAGTTGAATGAAACTGATTTATTTCTATTCATGCTTATATACTGGGATATTCTCCAGTAATGTTTATCACATACTCGGAGTTAGATAATAATCAATGGAAGCCAAGAGGGTAGGGTTGTACATAGTTTGCTTGTGGCTATATTGGAATTCTAGGCTAATCCCCCTTTCAACTCTGCCCCTCAATTTCTGCCACTTCTTCCCCTACACAAGCCAATTTTTCAGCATGCTGATGATAGAAAGTGTAATGTGTTTTACCATTTGTGCATGAATGTGACCTAGCAGGATGCATTTTATGAAAAATAGTTTAAATGAGTCAATCAATCCTCAGAATGATTACACTCTAAATAGTATCACAATCCCAAGGAAGAAGAATGCACATGGGGATATCCTTTTGGGTGTCTAATTGAGTTGCCTGAAAAATATATCAGAAAATCAGCCACAAATCTCCCAGGATTAATTAATTATATATACTTACAGTAAAAGCACTTAACAGTAGAAATAACTCTAGCTTGCCCAGATAACAGATCTTCCTGCAGGGGAAATATCAATACTGAATTCTTGGATAATCTCTCATTAAATATTGCTGAAAAAATATTTCAGTTGCAATATATGTTGAGGAAAGTTGAATTCCTCTTTTTTCCATTCAAAGTTTAGATGACTACACTTTGTACTAACCAATAATATTTTATTTCAACTCCATCTGAGAAGATAGTTTTTCTGGTCTGTAAATCATGGTACTGTGATTTCTTTAACAATTTCTTTAATGGACAATTTAATAAAGCACAGTTCTTCTGTGAATACTTACAAACTTACTATTGAAATGTTTAGAAAATTGTGTATCAGCCTTTGGTAATTTAAAAGTGATTAGTGACAGCTTTCCGAATTTGTTATAAGGAATAATTATGTAATTCTCTTCTTATTTTTTTTAAATGTACATAATTCCAATGTGTTAAAATATTCCACATAACTTTTGCAGTGTCTTTGTCATGTTATCTTTCGCCCATATGATCTTTCTGCAGATACTTCCTATGGTAAATAAATGTTATTTTTGGGGTGGGGCGGGGTGAGGTACCAAGACCAATTTATTCTAAAAATTAGAATGTGTTGTGGAGTGTGTAACTAGATGTACAATATACCCAGAATGTACATTTCTAATATTATCTGCTAATTTAAGGTTATTGAAAGTTTCACATTGATTTTTAGAAAAGTGATCCAACATTTTAGAATTGCTTGTATCACCCTGACTACAATTTACAAATCTGCAGAAGTTAAATAGAAGGTATGGTTGGCAAGTGGAAAGGAAATATAAATGTTTGATGCCCTGAAGTATATTGCTTCCCAAAGTAAACATGAAGAAAAGAATGCTACTACTTTTACACAGATAATTTGAGCTATCCTGCTATTTATTTATTTGTATCACACCTTTATTATTTTTACAAATAATTCAAGGCAGCAAACGTGTTCAACACGACTTCCTCCAAGGAAGAACTCAAAGTCTGTGCTTTCTAGGCTGGGGATTTTAGTGAACTTATTTTTATTTGCTTTCATTTTTATGACTGCCCACTCAATTTCACAGCTTGCAAAAAATAAAAATCCCAATATAAGAACAGAAAACTCACCCACCCACCTGGTGACAGCAATTAATCAAACAAACTCTAACCCACTCTGGTTCCCCCGACCTGCAAAACCAGGTCTTCATGGCCTTACAAAAGAAAGTCAAAATCGGGGGCAGTCTGATTTCTGCAGAGATAATGTTTCAAATGGAAAGGCCACCACAGAGAAGGCTCTTCTTCTGGTCCTGCCAGATGTATCTCCTTAGGAGAAGGAACCCACAATATTCCCTGATGGGTTGCTTGGATGTAACTGGCAAGAGATGGTCCTTCAGTCTCCTTGGTTCCAAGCCATGTAGGGCTTTAAAAATGACAACCAGCATGTTGAATTATACCCAGAAGCAAATTGGCAGACAATGCAGCTCCAGGGGAAGAGGTAACATATGTGCACACCTGGGTCTGTACAAAACCATGGAGCCACTGCATTTTGAACCAATTGGAGCTTTCAGATGCTTTTCAAGGGCAACCCCATGTTGATAACAGGTATCAGTATCCTGAGGATAATTTTAAATGTTCAAGAAACTGATAAGAAAGGAGCATTTCATTTATTTGCCTTTGAAGCTGTTTAACTCTTGGTTTGTATTCTAGATTAATATTTGACAAATGGAAGAAATTTTGGATTCAGAAAAAGGAAACCAGACAAGCATCAAAGAATTTATTCTTCTAGGTTTTGGGAATCTCTCTGAGCTGCAGCCTCTCCTTTTCTGTTTTTTCTTGGTGATTTATTTAATGACAATAACTGGAAACCTTCTCATCTTTATTTTAATTGTGACTGATCAACACCTCCACACCCCGATGTATTTATTCCTGGCTAATTTGTCTTGCCTGGACACTTGCTATAGTTGTAATTTGCTACCTAAAATGCTGGCCATTTTGCTGACTGATAAAAAAACTATTACTGTTATTGGGTGCCTAGCCCAATATCATTTTTTTTGTCTTTGTGGAACCATAGAAACTTATATTTTGACTGCAATGTCTTATGATCGCTATCTGGCAATTTGTAGACCCTTGCACTATGGCTCTATTATGAATATAAAATTTTGTTTCCAACTTATGGTAGGAGCATTTGTAAGCAGTCTAATAGTTAATGTAGTTTTTGTAGCTCTTGTGACTCAATTTTCTTTTTGTGGGCCTAATGTTATAGACCATTACTTCTGTGATTTCCGTCCACTGGTGAAACTGTCTTGTACAGATACTGTTCTAACTGAATACTTCTCTTTTTGCATATCCATTATTTTTGTAGTTATTCCATTCCTCTTGAGTATCATTTCTTACACTTGCATCATAGGTACCATCATCAGAATTCAGTCCACCACTGGAAGGCAAAAGGCCTTTTCAACCTGCTCCTCTCATCTTATGGTGGTTTCCCTCTTTTATGGCACATTGATCATTGTCTATACATTGCCAGATATCCCTTCTCTCAGACAATTCAACAAAATATTTTCTGTTTTCTATACAATGATGACACCTTTGTTCAACCCCCTTATCTATTCTTTGAGAAACAAGGAAGTTCACAAAGCCCTAATACGACTTTTTGATAAAATTATAATTCTTGGTCTTTTTTTTAAATTCTTTAGGTAGCCAAAGTTTTACTGGGGAAATGAAAATGTATTCTACTTAACAGTATTACTTGAGAATTCAGAGTAGATTAGGGGGGAAAAGATTGTTTCATGTCAGAATGCTCTTCTCTCCATATTGCTGAGGTATTTCTGCCTTAATTCCTGTTGTCTTCCCATGCATTTCCATGTATATTTATATGTATATATGTTTATGTAGATAGATGATAGATAGACAGACAGACAGACAATGTGTATGCATTTGGATATCTGTGCATATATCCATCTATCTATGTGATTTTTATTACAGTAAAGAAAACTAATGCAAACTGAACACAAGAGAGAAAGTTAACTAAAAAGAGAATAAAAGGAAAAAGAAAGAATAAATTAGAAAAGTACAAAGAAAAGGAAAAAGTGGAATAAAGAAGAAAGAAATAATAAAGAAGTTACTTCCAATCTTTATTACAAATATAAATAAGTATGACAGTTCTTCACCATTATATAGTTACAAACAGAAATCTCTTCTTATAATATATTTATGTATAAGCAACTTCATATGATATGAAGTTTTCAATTCGATTGCCAGCAAAAATGATAATCTATAAATGATTGCAAGAATTTCATTAACAAGTGTCTTATTTTAATCTTGATCAAAAAAAACCCCTGCTTTATATTGTTTTTACCTCTGAAAAATCTTATTCATTAAAATATTCTTATGGGAATTGATCTCTCTTTAAGGCTTTAACAAACCTCTTTTGTAATCCAGTGAAAAGACATTATCCAGATCTTTCTCTTGGTTTATCATTTGTATTTTTCCTTTTATTTTTAAAACTTCACCCACCTTCATTTGTATATCCAATAAAGAATCAGTTCCTAGTTATTCTTTTGATATGCAAATCCTGTTTCCACATTAAACAATATCTTCTATTTTGTAAACCACATTTTTAAAATTCCAATATTTGATTCCACTATTTTTGTCAAATAAATTTTATGTCATTGCTTCACTAACATTCTTTAAATGTTATCAATCCTTATAAACAGGAGCCATTGTGGCACGCTGGTTAGCAATAGCATGATTTATAAACCGACAGTGCTTTTACAGCCCTCTCTAAGCTGTTTTACAGAATCAGCATATTGCCCACAACAATCTGGGTCCTCATTTTACCATCCTTGGAAGGATTGAAGGCTGAGTCAACCTTGAGCCAGTGAGAATCAAATTGCTGGCATTTGACAGAATTAGCCTGCAATACTGCATAACCATTGCACCACCATGGCTCTTAGAATGCAATATTACAGATTGCCTTCAGACACAGTTCTGATGAGCTTGTGGTTGACTTAGCTTTCCATCTTTCAGAGATCAGTAAAATGAGAATCTGGATTGTTTGGGGCAAACTGCTGAGAGAGTGCTGTAAAGCATACGGAGCAGTGCTGGTATTCTGCCAGTTCTTACCTGTTCGGGCGAACTGGTAGTGGCAGCTGCTCGAGGTTCTGCCCACATATCCTGATGTAATGCGCAACCATCTGAGCATGTGAGAAATGTGAGTGCACTCACATTTGTGAACTCGTAGCGAAGATAAGTGAATCCCACCACTGATACAGAATTTTATTAAGTCTAATATTATTGCTATATTATGGCTGTTAATTTTTCATTTAATTCTTCAAAGATCTCCTTTAATATTGCAATAGTTACAGTGTCTATGGAGATTTTCGGTCATCCATATCATGATTGTCCCAGAGGTTCTTTTAAGAAGGCAAATGAACGTTCTTTTTTTTTTCTTTGAAGACATTTCTTCAGACACGAACTGAAGAAGCTTCTTGGATGAGAAGCCAAATGACTTCAAGGAAAATACAAAAAAAAAAGTCCAGTTGCCTTTTAAAAAGCACCTTTGGAACAACTGTTTGAGTGTTTTGTTCATTTTGTAAATTTCCAAAGTAGTTATTTTTTCTTCCTCTTTTTGCTTGCATCTTTAGTCCACTCTAGTATCAAATTTACTTTGTTATGACCCATAACAGACAAAATAATTTGGTTGCCATGAAAAGCTGTTTATTTTATATAGTTAGTTTACTAGGTAGTGCAACTTACAGTAAAAATTTCAATATTCCCAATTTGTCTGAACACTTATAGTTTATATTTTTTTGTTCAGAAATGAAGAATGAAGATGAATTCATTGTGATTTTTCAAACTTGTCATTTTTGAAAAACTCTTCAAACTTTAAGATGTAGGGCACCCCACCTGGTAGTGAGATTCCACTTCAGACATCCCACAAAACTGGGGGAGAACGGGTCCTTCGGCTCCTAACTGACTGTAATTTTTACCTTCCCAGTACCTCCCCAGATGCTGTCTCCATGGTAGAGGGGCACATGTCAGCTCTGGTGAGCACAGAGGCCTGGAGTTGCCATTCTAGTGTGGGGGGGGGGGAACTGGGCCAGCTGCCAAGACTTGTGCTTACCAGATAGAGATCTCCCTGCTCCACAAGCAGTCCAGTTGAAAACTCTACAAAGCTCTTATGACTGATTGCCAGGAGGTTTCCACTGAGAACATTCCAGAACAGATAACTGACTGAAAACAATCCATGATTGATTTCCGGGTGGTTTTCACTCTGGGTCACAAGGTGATGGGTGTGTGTGCATGCGGGGGTGGGGATTAGCCTAATTACTAAGTAACTATAAAAGTTGGTAAGGAGCACCAGATGTCAGCTCTGACAATTTATTCATTGCCTTAATGCTTTGTTGAGGTGCCTAGGAAGATAAACTGCATTTTCAAACTGTCTCTGTGTTTGGCTGTTTTCATTAACTCTTCAGAACCTGACAGATGTTAGATAAACAATTTCTTAAAAAATATTAGAAGTGAAACCAGCAAACACAGTGTCCTATAAATGACTCTGCTGTTGTTGAGAGCTTTCTGATCAATCTCCCTCCTTGTTCTGAAAGTTTCCAAAGAACCAGTCTACTTCCTGGTTCTTTGGCCTTCATTCTAGTTTAATTCACCATGCCTTTAGCAAATTCTATTTGAAATTTCTTTCTGAATGGAGACTTAATTTGAAAAATTGTTGTTAGTTTTCATCTTCATTTGTTTCCAAGATATTTTTTTTCTGAATACAGTTTTTCATTGCATAATATATGTATCTCCTGGTTTAAATGTGCTTTAGTAACTTTAATAATGCTAATGGAAAATAAGTGAAATTGTGCTTGATATTTTTTTCAAAAAGAGAGTTTCTGCTACAACTCCAGTTATTATACACCACATCAGGTCAATAATTCCAAGTTTCAATTAAGATTCCAAGTAGAAAAAAAAATTAAATTAAAAAAAATACAATCTACAGAAACATACAAGAAGCTCATAGTGCAATATAACAAAATTTGGAGAAAAAAAATAAGCAATAATTTCTAAAATTGAACTATCTGACTGTCATAGCACAAACAATATGGTCTCCAAGGACAGTGTATCATCTAACTGAGGAAAATAAATGCAAAATGTATGGTTGTTGCCTTTTCCTTGATAGAGGATAACTAATGAACAAGCAAAATTTTCAACATGCTGATGAGAGCATGGATTTTATTTTTCTGACTGAATGTGATCCTTTGTACTCTCAGGATGGCCTGCCTGAAATTTTTTAAATGCTCAGAAGTAGGAAGCTCTAAATAACACAGAAATCCCAGGGAGAAATCTCCTTTTGGCTGTATAACAGAGTTGCATCAGTAAATCAGAAAATCAATGTCAAATCTCCCAGGATTAATTAATGATATATTGATAGAAACACTTCTATATTATATCAGAAAAAGCTCCAGCTCCTTCACAAGACATTTGGAGAAAAAATCAATGCTGAATCTTTGGACAAAAATCAATACTAAATCTTTGGGCAATCAGTAATTAATATAGTGGAGGAAAATTCCACTTCCAAGTTTCAAAGCAATTATACATTGGAGAAGAATTTTTATGGCAGCCTTTTCCATTACAGCTTGAATGGTTTAGCAGATTGCACTAAATCATAATATGTTTTAATTTTATCTCAGCTTGATCCCTGAAGTTAGCCTCTGTGGTTTGTAAACTTTTTACCACATATGTAAGCCCAGATTCTGTTAAAACATAATATGCATTCATGCAATGTGTAAAGCCATCCCAGGGAAGGTGAATCCAAATGAATGGGACTCTTTTTCTCTTTGTGAAAATATATGGTATTTTTCTTTGGAAAAGATAACCTTTTGGATGCTTAAAAAGATACTACCTTGTGCCAAGGCAACCTTATATATGATTTACTATTCAGTTTCAACTTCTAGATTGATAACATCTGTAGCATTAGGAATGGCTGAAGAAAAATATTTGTTCTTTATATAGCAACAGATCAGTTTATCATTTTCATTCCTGTCTGAAGTTTTATTATAGATAAGGGAATTATGAGATAGTGTGGTAATACAATGCAGATTTTTCCAGCACCGCAGTTGAAAAATTAATAAGAGTTCTGTGAGTAATATCTTATTTTTTATGCCTTTGGTTCAATGTCCACCTTTATTTAAATATGTGAAAAATTATGTTTTATATTTATATTATATTAGCATTAAACATTATTTTTGCTAAATACAAGATTATTTGATTAATACTACATTATAAGCTGAAATTATGTTTCACAGTCTTCCCTTTATTAATAGTAAATATAATTAGTGTGTTTAGTGTTTCATATAAATTTTGCAATGTATTAGGTATTTCATTAAGTTCAGTCACCTTTCCTTTGGTACTTTTCTTGGTCAATAATGCTATCTCTCTCTTTTTTAATTCCAAGATCAAATTGCTACAAAAATAGAAATGGTTGTGTGGAAACAATTACTGTATATCTATAACCAGAATCATTGTGGACACAGGTATGACAAGAAATACTAAAAAAAAACACCATGTAGCTTTAAAAAAAGGATTCCAAATATTATAGAATTATATATTTCAAATTGATCACATTGTAGACTTTCAGAGAGGTATACTTGGGAAAGGAAAGAGATATGAAAATGTTTGATTCAATTATTTTGCTCTCCAGCATAGGCATGAGATAAAAATATGATTTTGCTACTTGTAGTGTCACACTATTATTTGAGTGAAATAATAATGAATAACAGCTAATCACATTCACAAAATACATTTAACAAAATTTAAGAAATCATTAAAAAATTTAGCATAACTCTGCCTTTCAACATGCCTGCTTCTTGACATATGTTCTAGGTTTAATTGACATTTGATACATGGAAGAAATTCTGCTTATTGAAAATGGAAACAAGACGACCATCACAGAGTTTATCCTTCTGGGTTTTGGCAATTCCCCTCAGCTGCAGCCTTTCCTTTTCATATTCTTCTTAGTGATTTATCTGATCACAATAACTGGAAACATCTTCATCTTTCTGCTTGTTCTGGTTGACCACCAACTTCACACACCAATGTACTTTTTCCTGGCAAATTTGTCTTTCCTGGACACTTGCTATAGCTGTATCTTGCTGCCTAAAATGCTGGTCAGCTTACTGACTGGTGAAAAAACCATTGCTGTCCACAGATGCCTAGTGCAATATCATTTTGTATGTCTTTGTGGAGCTACAGAAACATACATTTTGGCTGCAATGTCTTATGACCGCTATTTGGCAATTTGTAGACCTTTACACTATGTTTCCATTATGAATAAGAAGCTCTGTTTCCAGCTTATGGCTGGGGCATGGATAAATAGTTTGATATTTGATGTGATTCTGGTGGGTTTTACCACTCAGTTATCCTTCTGTGGGCCTAATGTCATAGATGATTACTTTTGTGACTTTCGTCCATTGCAGAAACTATCATGTACTGACACAAGTCTCATTGAATTAATTGCTTTTTGTGAAGCTGTTATTTTCATAATTGTTCCATTTCTGTTGACCATTGCCTCCTACATTTGCATCATTGGCACCATCATCAAAATCAAATCCACCACTGGAAGGCAAAAAGCATTTTCAACCTGTTCTTCTCATCTCTTGGTGGTTTCCCTCTTTTATAGCACATTAATCATTGTTTATGTGTTGCCAGACACTCCCTCCCTCAGACCCTTGAATAAAATCTTTTCCATTTTCTATACAGTTATGACATCCTTGTTCAATCCACTTATCTATACTTTGAGAAACAAAGAAGTTCACAAAGCTGTAAAAAGGCTTTTTAATAAAATATTAATGCATCACATGAATCATCTGAAATTTTCAACATCTCTTCACTTCATTAGTTTGCAAAAATTTCATTGTAAGTTGTAAAATCTGATGTAAGTAAGTGGACACTAATTAAAAGTTGTTTATATTTTATACCTTTTGTCAGCAGGATGTAAAAAATTATTTGCAGTCTCTTATTCTTGAGATATTATTTATATCTCTATAATTGTAATATATGATACCATACTATGATTTATTATATCACATATTTTTATTTCAGTATGTTTCATTATTTAGATTTTTCAGGAAAATACTTTTGTACATATTTATTAGATAAAGAAATTTGCATTGAGGGCTTGGACTTTATTTATTGGGTCATTGGGTCATCCTTTACTGATGGAAACTTGTCTCCTGTTCTATCACTCTATCCTGTTAATTTCTGAAACAAGGCTAGGAGTTAAACTGAACCCAGTCTGACCACTGAGCCTGGACACTGTCTACCCGAAAAAATGAGAGGCTCTGTCAATTTCTCTTCTAACCAGGAATTGTACAGTGTGATTTCATGGTGGGTATTGCCTATCTAAAACTGAAAACAATTATCTTCATTAAGATTTAAGAACTGAGATTTGAATATTGCTTTCCCATTGAATGTGAATTTAATTCAGCCATATAGTGGGAAGAAGCATTATGACCCCAAATTAGTAGACTGATCTTGTGTGAGTGCTTATTTGGCAATATTGAGGTCAAATAATACATCCCAATAGCTTCTTGGAAACTGTTGGAAATTGAAATGTCTGGCTATAGAATTATCATTATAATTATTTGGTGGTATTCTAAGATGCTGTAACATAGAACCAAAGAGGGGAGAGTAAATATATTGGAAACCTGCCTTGTGGGAAGGACCTTGGGAGAGCGGGAAAGAGCTGCAGTGAGGGCAATGGTCAGATAATGTGGGCATGACAAATATCTTACAAGAGACTCTCCCTAGTTTCTTGGGCTATAAAGATGATAGTGGAGAAATGTAATTACAGATTTGCAAGGTTTTTAAAAATAAACTTACAATAAAGTACAGATCATAATTCTATGTGTGCTGCTTATCTGGACTACCTTAGGTTGACAAAATTTGATGTTTCTTTGGCATATGTTATAATTCAATTGTTATTATCTGTCTGGCAACACATCTGTAGATTCTCAAGAAGTGTTACCTGAAAAAGATTTAAATTAGTTTTTCAAAGTAATAAGCTGTGTAGACAGAAATCTTAAGGGAAAATAATTAATGTAAAAAATCCCTTTTGGATTTAGGAGACTGGTTGTATTTTATAATTTTCCAGGAAACTAGAAGATTAATTTCAAATCCCCCAGTGAACTCATTTGAAGTTCAAAGGATATTATTTTTAATAGTGGTTACCAAGTGCCATTTTTCTATGCTGCAATTTAAAGATATAGCACTAGTGAGAGTTAGTATATCTGTGAAACTTATACTCACTCAAGGCAGGTAGGTTCTAGTCTCAGACACTTCAAGAGATATTTTTAAATAATTGATTCATACATGTATATGTAATATGTACATATATGTATGTATGTATAATTTGATCATTTTTGTTTAAAGTGGTTTATAAACTTGATGTTTCTTTCTGTTTGTACTGTGATTCAGAACAAAAGTATTTATTCTAAATTTAGTTCTTTAAAGGTCACAATTAGGAGAAACAAATATAGCAAAATGTCAGAAATCCAAATTTAACTCAATTTCAAACTATTTTCATATTAATATTGTCTAAATTCTGATTCTCAATAAAAATGTTGAAATGATGATTAAGAAATGTGTTCAGTTAGCATTTAGGTAGCATAGCTGTCCTGCCTGTCTTTAATTTTTTTTCAATATGATCTAGTCTACTATTTAGACTTGTCCATCTTTGCAAATGAACTTTGCCCAAAGATGCTATAGAATTACAAATGACTGTGGTGACCAATAATGATATTTTAACATATCAATGCTACTATTTTAATAAAAGAATATTTCACTGCTCTTGAGTAAAGTGAAATAAATTGATGGAAGATAAGTAGCTAATTAAACATAACAATAGAATATCTTATACAAAGTAATATGATATACTTTTTGCAGAAAGTCCAATATTAAGCAAAGCAGGATATAGTTATCTATTTCTTCACATATGTACAAATATCTATTCAACATATAATTCAATTACTCAGCAAGCAAAAGGATAAAATATATAAAGATAAAATTTATGTTGTCAACCAAATTTATTTAAGACTTGATCACAAATCACCCTAGCAAGCCAAACCATTGTTCCTTTACAACAATGTCAATCAGACAAAATTTGACCAACTCAAAATATGTTGAATTTGCATTATTTCATTTGCCAACCTGATTAATCAACAGATGCTTTAAATGAATTCATGATTGTAATAAAATGGAGTCTGCAACAAAACATGAAGAAAATCAGTCTCAGCATACAGAAAATAGAATTCAGAATTATCTTTCCTTTGCTTAGTTCTTTGATAAAATCATTTATGTTTATTCTTATAATAAAGCTGTTTCTGTTGATGTACAATTTATGCATTAGAGACTGAAAATATGAATGTGGAAGGATCCTAGACACATAATACAATGGTGTTCAGAAAATTGTTAGTATCTTTTTAAAAACGTAATCATTGTTGGAGACAAAGACTGAGCCTCTAACCTTGCTGTAATTTTTGCTTGGGGGGAATAGTTGATTGGATTATCATTTACATTCATTGTTGGTTTGTTTCTTGTAATTCTCAATTTTTCAGATCTTTTGATTTTCAGAGAAAAGTATAGGTGAACGGAAGAAGAACCTTCTGAGGTTAATTATTGAAATGATACCACTGATCGCTAAGAATTCCATAACGATTCATTATAGATGATATCTTTGATTTCACCTACACTACGGGCTACTTTTTGGATGTGTGGATTAAGGGATCTAGTGGAAATCTCAGTTGCATGATTTTCTGATTGCACTGTACTTTTGAATGTGATGCAGTCAACTAAAAAAAAATGCTGGCTTCAGAGAAAGGCAACCACTCGGACATTGTAGAATTCATCCTCTTGGGTTTTGGAAATTCTGCTCAGCTGCAATTTATGCTTTTTTTACTTTTCTTGTTGATTTATCTTGTGACAATAACTGGGAACGTTCTCATTATTGTGTTAATTGTGGCTGCCCCATGTCTTCACACCCCTATGTACTTTTTTCTTGGAAATTTGTCCTGTTTGGAGACATGCTATACTTCAAGTATATTGCCAAAAATGTTGACTAGTTTGTTAACAGGAAAGGCAACTATTACTGTGAGTCAATGTTTAACCCAATATTATTTCTTTGGCTCTTTTGTAACAGTAGAAACATATCTTCTTGCAGCAATGTCTTATGACCGCTATTTGGCTATATGTAGACCTTTCCTTTATGGTTTGATTATGAGTAAGAAGCTGTGTGTTTATCTCATGGCTGGGTCATGGCTAAATGGGTTAGTAGCTAATGGTATCATTTTGCTTCTCCTTAGTCAGTTATCTTTTTGTGGCCCAAATATCATTGACCATTACTTTTGTGACTTGAATCCACTAGAAAAACTATCCTGTACTGATACAAGCTTCCTTGAACTCATTCTCTCTTTCTTTTCCATCATTGATGCTGTAGTTCCATTTATTCTGACATTCACATCTTACATATGCATCATCATTGCCATCATAAAAATAAAATCCAGCACTGGAAGACAAAAGGCTTTCTCAAACTGTTCCTCTCATCTCATGGTGGTTAGTCTTTTTTATGGCACTATTATCATTGTCTACATGTTGCCAGATACCCCCACTCTGAGATATCTTAATAAATTGTTCTCCATATTTTATACAATTTTGACTCCATTGGTTAATCCCATCATTTATACTTTAAGAAACAAAGATGTCCACAAAGCTTTAGGATTGGTTCGAAAGAAATTGAGAATTTTTGGAAGAAGTTATTTCTTTTGTTTATAGACACAACACCTATAAAAGAGTTGCTAAATGAGAGACATATTTTTGGGGGGGTTGCCATACAATTTTGACTTTTTCTATAGGTAGTAGGGCTCTGGCTGGTGACACAACATTATTGAAGTGTATGAATTAATCTATATAGAAGGAGAGCTTGATTTTTTCCCCATGTGTTTTGCAAGGTTTCAAGGGCTTTATAATATAACTATTTTAAGCTTAATACTGTAAGTCTGTCATAAGTATGAAGTACAGAGAGCAGAAAATTAGCTATTTGATTTATCAGGTTCTGATAGTTTTAATCATCATAGAGGTTTTTATTTTTAACTAATTCTTTTTCTGTATCTAAATTCTTTCTTGAAGAAAATACATAAAAATTACTTCTGATTCTGTTGTGATCTTTGTTTCTTGTTGGAAGAATCATTCCAGAAAATGACAGTTAATGTATAACAATTGCATAGTTTATTGTATAAACTAAGATATGATATGATACAGTTATCCCTTTATGATGATTCTCAATTCCAACAAAACTAATCTCTCTCTCTCTCTCTCTCTCTCTCTCTCTCTC